GTTCATGTCCTATATGACCATGAAATCCAACGTTTCATGCTTCGTGTGACTGTGAAATTCAATGTTTTATGTATGGTGTGGCTGTGATATGTAATTTACACAGATTTTCTTGAATTCATAACGTTTTTTGTGTACACTGTTCACATGATGTACGGTAGTTCACACACAGATAAAAAACATCGTTTTGTGTGTAAATATGTTACTTTGTGTTTTTCCTACAAGTAATCTAGCTCAGGTGACTTACTATGATAGACTAAGGGTGATATAAAACTTAGCGTGACAAGCACGTGATAATCCTCTATAAAAGAAACGGAGGAGACTCTGGACTAGGAGATTGAAGATCACCAGTTCTGAGGAAACATTATAGCATGTCGCCTGTACTCGGGTATTGGAAGCTTCGGGGGCTGTGTGAGCCCATCCGTTACATGCTGGCATACACTGGAACAGACTATGAAGACAAACTATACGTTCCTGGCGACCCCCCCGAATGGGGTCGTGGAGAATGGGAGATGGAGCGTATGTCTTTAGCTCTAGATTTTCCTAATATTCCTTACTACATCGATGGTGACCTCAAGTTGACCCAGAGTGTGGCCATTATGAGGTATCTAGCTCGTAAAAATGATCTTGACGCCAAGTCCGAAGAGGAACGGATCCGCATGGATTTAGTGGAACAACAGCTGTGTGACATGAGATTTGGATTGATTAGGGTAGCTTACGTTCCGCCGGAAGTTTACGGAAACATGCGGAAAAACTACCTGGGTCGTCTACCTGAACTGTTAAGACTGTTGTCCGAATTCCTCGGTTCTGGACAATGGCTAGTTGGAGACAGAGTGACCTACGTCGACTTCATGTGCTACGAAGTACTGGACCACCACCGCCTGTTTGATCCGCACTGTCTAGAGGACTTCTCTAATCTCCAGCAGTTCACGACTCGATTCGAAGAATTACCGGCCATAAAGAAATACATGGAGTCCGACAGGTTCAGATGGTATCCCTTGTATGCTCCGTTCGCTTCATTCGGAGGAACATTCAGCCCGAACAAACCCGAGAAGGCCCGAGAGATGTTTCCGAATTCATACATAGACATGGGGTATTCTTTTCCTTGGAAGGATATGTAAAAACAAGCGACATCGGACTTGTCATCTAATACTTACCGATAAGACAGTAACGTAGTATCTATAGTGTTCTACTTCTAGTTAAGCCTAATAACTAAATTCTATTATGTCAAAGGTTTCCTTTACAGATTTTTATAATCACTAAAAACCCGACTGTTCTATCGATACTTACTGTACAAACTTTAAACTATTAAAAATTCGGCTCTCTGATGTATTCATTTATGTAAAATAATAAAATGTTGAACTATGAGAAAGTATTGACGTCATAAATGAGATAACTTGAAGTACATGTTACAGAAGTGAAAATAAGATCACTCTGTAAATATTCATGTTACAGAAGTGAGTGAACTGTTGATACAATGTTATCGGACTATCAACACAATGTTAGTGAACTGTCAGTACAATGTTTGTGAACTTTCGGTTTTGTGTTTGCGTGCTGTTAGCGGACTGTCAAGTACGATGTTAGCATGTTGTCAGTACAATGTTAGCATGTTGTCAGTACAATGTTAGCACGTTGTTGGTACAATGTTAGCATGTTGTCGGTACAATGTTAGCAGGTTGTCAGTACAATGTTAGCACGTTGTTGGTACAATGTTAGCATGTTGTTGGTACAATGTTAGCATGTTGTGGTACAATGTTAGCATGTTGTCAGTACAATGTTAGCATGTTGTCGGTACAATGTTAGCATGTTGTCGGTGCAATGTTAGCATGTTGTCAGTTAAAAATGCTGTCTTTGTTTTACATATTTCACAAGCTCGGGACCGGCTTGCTTGTTCCTGTCATTACGAAAGTTTTTTGTCTTTTTTTAAGAAACAGTTAAGCCTATCTAGTTTTTCGGTATTTTTTCCTTGTCTCCTTTTTACGTCGGTGAAATACTGCATTTAAAACAATCTACGTTTTAGGACTGTTGTCGATAAATTAGCTTTTCAGCGATTGATCACTAAATAAAACCAGCAACAAAATGTAAGAACACTACAAGATGAATTATAATGTTGTTGTTAAGCAACAAGATCTTCTAGAACCAGCTGGTTTGTTAGAAATTAGAAGTTGTTTTGGAATAAATCGAATTTTAACAGTTTATCGTTAAGCACAAAGACTAAACAATGGTATACGTTTTCTCTGCCCATCGCGGGTATCGAAACCCAATATTTAGCGTATAAGCCCTAAACACTTACCCCCTGAGCCACTGGTGGGGAGAAGGGGTCAGTTTTGTATGGATCACTTTATTTTTATTGTTATAATCTTTATAAACAGTTCCAGACTGGACTAACTCAATCGGAATATTTACGGAGTGATCTTATCATTTGAACTGTTGATACAATGTTATTGGACTATCAACACAATGTTGATAGTCCGATAACATTGTACCGACAGTTCACTAACATTGTGTTGATAGTCCGATAACATTGTATCAACAGTTCACTAACATTGTACCAACAGTTCACTAACATTGTGCTGATAGTCCGATAACATTGTATCAACAGTTCACTAACATTGTACCAACAGTTCACTAACATTGTGTTGATAGTCCAATAACATTGTATCAACAGTTCACTAACATTGTGTTGATAGTCCGATAGCATTGTATCAACAGTTCACTAACATTGTGCTTATAGTCCGATAACATTGTACCGACAGTTCACTAACATTGTGTTGATAGTCCGATAATATTGTATCAACAGTTCACTAACATTGTACCAACAGTTCACTAACATTGTGCTGATAGTCCGATAACATTGTATCAACAGTTCACT